ACGGGGCCGTACGTGTTACCCGAGGGTAAGGGAAGGCTGAATCTGAATGGGCAAGGTTGAGGGTGGACACGGGGTCATTGCTGTAAAACTCTAGCCTCCTAGACTCCGAGGTTCTCGAGATATTAACTTACCCGTAAAAAACTTCCACAGGGCCGTACGCATTACCCGCGGGTACGGGGAAGCTAAATTTAAATTTGCGGGGTCACACGTGGGTGGGGAACGTTAACCTAAATTTTCAGCTCCCTAGCTTTTGTGATTCCCGAGTTGAAAGTTGCGGGCAAGTTGGTGCGGACACACACACACACAAATGCACACACAGACAACCCCGTAACAATATGCGTTTTGTACTGCTGTTACACAGCACAAAACGCATAAAAATATTAGAACGGTGTAAAAAAACAACGGCTGCAAAAAAAAAAAGTGAGTTAGACGATAGAAATAAAAAAAATTCACAGATCACAACAAAAAATGACGATCAATTCAGGAATGCGACTGCTCCGTGGAAATTACAGCAGTTCAGATGACCAGAATAACACAAAGCTGTACACATCCTCTCTGTTCTCTCTCTCTCACCTTACCAAAATTCATTTGGTTCACTCCCCTCAGGGCGAAAGTATAATTTCCGCCAATTCTGCAGGACCTTCTCTTCGACTGAACAACAGGAAACCTTCCCTATTTTTGCTGTTCAAACGTGTAAGCGATGTCTGGTCAGTGCCATGGTACTGTGCGGTAGCCAGCTACTCACTGTCAGACACATATCGCCGACAAGAAAATCCGGGTGAATCTTTAGCTTATTTCAGTGGCATCACTGGTACTCGTCAGGCATCCCAGCCACTTTCACCTCGTCGCACAAGAAAACTCAAAGTGCACTTCTGGGAACTGAAAGAATCCAGGCCATAGGACAGGTTTTCTTCTAAAGTTAAATACAACACGAAAGAGCTCTGAGTTCATGCACACCGACTCCAAATGCTCAGACTGCTTTTAAGAGGTTGCGCAACAATTATGCCTTGATAGATGGAGGGAAATGAACGATGTCCCAATAAAGCTATCCGCCGCGATTCCCAGTGTTCGAGGAATCTTCAATCAAACGTTCCGTATCTCCTAAAAAAGTATAAATAATGAAGAAAATGGACGTTTAATGCCAAGAAAATGTACGTTTTTGAAATACAGCTATAAAAAAACATAGAACTGTACCGAGAATCTGTCGCTGGGCAACACAGCAGCACTTGTTTCGCAGCATCATTGTGGAAATCACGATAATGGCAATCAGAAGGCAGCTTCCAGGCACAATAACAATGACAACCCGATAAAAACTTGCACATTCCGGTGCAGTTTTACTGCTTCTGCAAGAAACCTTACTGGAATTCAAAACCGCCCGTCGCACACAACCTCTCGTCCCCCCCCTCCCCCCTCGCCCCGCCCCTTCCCTCAAGCAAGCTAAGCACACAGGAATGAACAGTTAGGTGGTTAGACAATCTGTTAAAATATCAGGTTGCAGCAGTTAATCATTTAGAAATTAGTGCTAGAGGTTACGATTGTGAGGGTTAGAAGCCCCTACTGTTAAATCTAAACTTTGTATAATATCTGAAGTGTACACCGGCTGCATGATCCAAGGGATTATCACTGCTGCTGACGAAAACACTACAGACAAGCGCTCCTGCTCACTCTTACAAGTTTAAAATTTAAAAACTATTTCAGCAGCTAGTAATAATACACGTAAACTAACATGCAAGAAGGTGGACTGAAGAGCTCGATTGCTTGCAAGCCAAGTCCGTTCGAAAGTTTGTCCATCGAACTCAAAATACCGTAGACAAAAGCTCCACTTTCCTGTAATTATTAAACTATTTCTTTAAAAGCATTACTGTCCAGGAAAGATAACAAATAACGATCCAAACAAAGCCCGGAACAGAAACTGTCTGTAGCGAAAAATAAATGGTGTTCAGCAAAGCAAGAAAGCAATCCGAAAGAGTGGGACATGCATGAAAGGATCGCTCACCTCGCCGATTCAGCCTTCATTCACACCGAAAAAAAAACCAAACAGTGAGATAGTTAGGGCGGAAAAAATCCAACCATAGCGGATGCAAACAGCAAGCACTGAAGAAACAAACATAAAATGCCCTCGAACGAAAGCTAACCAAAAACGAGTGAAATATAATCAGATGCAACCAATAGACGCTTTAAAAAAAAGCAGAAAAAGCATTTCGCATAAAAATTATATGTGAAAATTATGGCGTCCTCAAGCGCCTCTAGATTAGGAGAGCAGCATTCTTCACATTCATTTCTCATGGGATTTTGTTTTTCGCTTCCTTAAGAACAGAAAACGACAGCCTACCCTTCCTCCCACCCCCCCCCTCCTCCCTCAAATCATTTTTGACCAGCAATTTTTTTTTCAAAGATCTTCCGAACAGGAGAAATTCCCAATGACTTTTGCAAGAGAAAATGCGTGGGCCAAGAAATGATATGCGATTTTTTCCAGAAAATTTGCTTTTAATAATTCTTTCGCTTTGTTCATTGATACTGAATGAGAACGTATGACATTACTCACCGTATCGCGATTTATGAGCTCGGCAACAGCAGACAGTGAAGCGATGAGCAGAACAGCTTGTGCAGCACCAAGAAGTACCGCAATAACATAAACTGGAAAATACGCATCGTAATGCATTGAGAGGCAACTCGAAATACCACATAGGCATCCAAAAATCGCTAAAACCTGAAATTACAATAACAATCAAAAGGCAAAGGTACTCTCACATGAGGGGGCAAATTAACTTCTTGTTTTTTGCTAGCATCAGTAAAAGGGAAGAAAGTAAACAAAATACAGTTATAGTTGCCAGTCTCGTGAAAAATCTGTACTACCTTGCCATCAAAACATATTGGCCATGCGTTTAATGTGAATAAAATTGGTCGCAACTTATACAATTAAATTGATGTTTTATCAGAAACCAAACTGAAGATAAGGGAGAATCTGTGCAAAAGCGAAGAAATGCTTATGCGCTTCCCCTTAGATTAACATTCTCAATCAGATGAAGCACTTTTACGTGAAGTTCCAAGCAGACCTCGAATTCGTGTTCGCTCCAATTTGTAAATGGGGTGCAGGTCATTGGCGTTCAGCAGAAGTGAATAGTTAAACAGCGTTCTCCAACGACAAGTACCGAGTCACAAACGCTGTATCTGGCTGAGTTGCGCTGTGAAAGATTATTATGTGTTTTCTGCATCCATGCAATGCAGAAAACACATATTGACAAGGGATTGTGTGTGTGAGTGTGTGTATTTGCATCTGCAGCGATTTTTCATCTCAAGACCTATGAAAGCTACAGGGCTAAAACTTCGGGAACTTAATCTACATGTAAGTACGAGCCCCAAACCCAAAAATGGACGCTCTTGCCCGCGCGGTACCTACGTACGGAACCACCAAAGTTTTTGGCAGGCAAGTTGCTAACTCGGGAACCAGTAAAGCTAGAAAAACTGAAAATTTTAAAACTGAAAAAATTTTCCTCCGGTGAATTGCTAACTTGGGAACCTGAAAGGCTAGAAAGCTGTAATTTTAAGAGGATGCTTTCCAGTCCTGGCGGTCAGTCTCAATTCCTTTGGCGAGAAGCATCTGCTGGAAAAAACAGTGCCGTTAACGACAAAAATCTGCGGGGAACTATGTAAAAAACGCATTTTCGCACCGGCAGTCGGTGCGCTGGTCATTTATTTATGATTTGTGCTGCATAATATTCCCATGCAAATTAGTGCATCAGTGATTACAATTTC